TGTTTGCTAGATTTAATGTGAATTTTTGCAGATGTTCCTATCGAGACGTTAGCTTGGAAAACGGATATATATGTACTACCCTGTAGTCCTCAAAATGCAGCACTAACGGATTCTTCTCATGTAGGAAACGCCTCCATGGTGTTGTGACATTATCTGTACATTGTTTTTATTTACAAAAAGTCTGAGGTTAAAGTGATTGTATATATGTTATTATTTCATAATTTATAAAAAATGTATAATAAGCGCATACGAAAAAAAGATCTACAAAGAATTTATCAAATATTAACAGCGGTAACCTTGTAATCGTTGAATGTGGTATAAACAAGTAAACTTTCACTAGGCATTGTTACGCCATAGAGTAATTCTTGTCCAGCTTTTTCATTTGATGTGATTGCGTCAAAATTATCGTCAAGGAAAGTCCATCCTCCGTACATACATGCAGCCATGTGATAGCGCTTTCCAGTTCGCATATGATCTTCAATATGCCAGACACCACCAGCAGTCTTAAATGCTCAAATTTGGCGCTTAACATAGAATCGGAATTAGTCTTACCTCCTTGGTTTTCAGCGGTTCTTTGGTTTGCCTCGTATCAAATAATCGTATGTGCTGGTCATAACTGCCTGTTAGGATGATCTGGAAACAGGATAAAATCGAGTGAGTTGAAAACTACTTTTTAGAAAATGAACTACGAAGATTGGCTGGATTACCAGTCCTTCGCTGAGCAGTGATAACTGGCATAGAATGTATTTACAGACTTAGACAGTCAATCTTTAAATTAAAAGGCTTGCATGGCAATATCGAAACACCTAACGAGCCCTTCACAAAAACAATGATTTAAAAAACCCTACATGTTCCTCTTGCCAACTGCTGTAGGTTATACCAGCATCAAAATCAGTAAGCCGTTGAACCAACGTCTTCGTTCGAGTATCCCATACTTTGAGCGTAGCGTCTTCAGCACCAGTACAAAGTAGCGTATCATTTAAGCTACATGTCCACACCTATAAAAGAAGTTCTAAAAAACAAGGAAATCATACACCTTCAAAATAAGTTGACCAACCTCACACCCTTCATTTGTATATGGTAGTGAATGAGCTTTCCAAGTGGCGACTACTGTTCCAGTATTAATGTCAACGATATGAGCATTGCCAGCTTTGTCAGTACAAGCCACATCAGTACGCGATGAAGAAGAAACATCGAGAAGCATGTCTCCAGAAACAGGAATAGATTCCGTGGAGGGTGATGCTAGAAAACCCTCAAACTAATTACTACACGACTGAGTTAACCTACAAACAAATATGAAATAAAAATGAGAAATAAATCTAAAGAAAATTACCTTCAAAAGTAGTGATGAACAACGAGCCATCGGTAACGGCTGCTATCACAACATCAGATTTCAAAAATTCAAACCGAAACACCCCAGCTGGAGCTTTAATACATTGTAGAATATCAAGGGTAGGCGACAGAACATAAATGGAACCA